AAAATATGTGCAGGAATTCAAGGAGTACATAGACAGTGAAGGACTGAAACCTGAACAAGTGTTTAATTGTGATGAAACAGGCCTGTTTTGGAAGAAAATGCCAAGCAGGGCCTACATACTCAGGAGGAAAAGGCACTCCCAAGGACATAAGCCTAGAAAGACAGGCTTACTCTGTTGATGTGTTGCCAATGCTAGTGGTGATGCAAAGTGAAGCTTTATTAGTGTATCACTCAGAAACTCCCCGAGTGTTCAGGCAAAAGAATATCCTCAAGGCTAATTTGTGTGTGCTGTGGAGGGCAAACAGTAAGGCATGGGTCACTAGGGACTTTTTCTATGACTGGTTACACCAAGCATTTGCCCCCCAATTGAAAGATTACCTAACTGAAAAGAAATTAGACTTTAAGTGCCTCCTGGTGTTAGACAATGCCCCGGCATCCTACAGACGTGGAAAAAGAGTGACTTTATGGGGACATGAGCTTCATTAAGGTGAAGTTTTTGCCTCCTAATACCATTCCCTCTACCCGGGAGCCCATGGACCAGCAGGTTATTGCAAAAATTTAAAAAACTGTACACAAAAGCTCTGAAAGGTGCTTTTTAGTGACCTCAGAAACTCAGTTGACTCTAAGAGAGTTTTGGAGAGATCAAATTTAATATCCTCACTTGTGTAAACCTTATAGGTAAGGGCTTGGGAGGGAGTGACTAAGAGGACCTTGAACTCTGCTCGGAAGAAACTGTGGCCAGAATGTGTAGACCAAAGGGATTTTGAAGGGTTTGAGGCTAACCCTGGGAATCCTATGCCAGTTGAGGAATCCCTTGGGGGCATTGGGGAAAATCCCTTGGGGTTGGAGGTTAGTGGGGGGTGATGTGGAAGAGTTGGGGGAGGAGGACAATGAAGAACTAACCACTGATGAGCTGCTAGATCAACTTCAACAGCAAGAGGCTAGACCTGAGGAAACTGGTTCGGAGGAGGGGAGAGAGAAATTGAAGAAGTTGCCTACTTCAAAGATTAAGGAAATGTGGGGGAATGTGGCTTAAAGTGCAAACCTTTTTTGATGACAATCACCCTAACACAGCTATTGCAAGCCGTGCGGTGACTATTACACTGACACTGTTGGGAAACACTTTAGGAAAGTCATAAAGGAACGAGAGGTACAGGCCACTATGGACAGATATGTTGTGCGACAGAAGTCCAGTGACTCTGAAGTTGGGCCAGTGGCATTAAAAGAAGAAGGGAAGTAACCCCCGAAAAGGACTTGACACCTCAAGTCTTAAATGGAAGGGATTTTCCCCCTTTTAAAAAACTAAGACTCTCTCCTCCTCCCATCCCATCAATCATCACCAGATCTTCAATAAAGGTAAGTGTCATGTAACTGTGCATGCCTTTTTCAGTTTGTGTGTATTAAAATTAATATTTCATGTGGTAAAATTTTTTTTTTCATACTTTGGGGTGTCTTGCACGGATTAATTTGATTTCCATTATTTCTTATGGGGAAAATTCATTCGCATAACGATAATTTCGCATAACAATGAGCTCTCAGGAACGGATTAATATCGTTATGCGGGGGTCCACTGTACTACCAGGAAGATGAGTTTCAAGGTTTTGGTGAGGTTTTGACCGAAACTAATGACCATAATATCGGTAATAGTGAGGAAAACCCAGACGACAATCAGCCTTCCACCTCTGCTGCTGGGCCGTCTTGTTCACATTCAATTGTACCAGAATCAAAGAGGAAACTCCTATTTTCCCAAATCCCGGACTCAGATGTGAGCGTTGGAGATGATAGTGATAGTGAATATGAACAAGCTCTTGAAACCAGTTCCAGTAGTGATAGTGAAGTGCAATATTCTCCAGTGAAGCATCACTATATACTACGATATATGCGCTTTGGTAGTGTGCCATATGCTATTCCAAGGGGAAGGAGTACATCTCGTGGCTGTATAACAGGAACAGACAGTGAAAATGATGATGATAGCATTGGAATTGGGATGGAAAATGTGCATGGTGGTGGTAGTGGTGGTGCTGGCAATGAGGCACCAGCATTGGGCCATGCTGCCACCCACGCCGCTGCCTCAGCTGATCTACAACAAAGGCCACCATCCCCCACCCACCCACCACACCAGCCTCCACTGTCAGGGGTCATGGAATACTCCATTCTACTGATTACACAGCAACACATTAAATGACCATAAGACCTGTCTTTGTAATACTCATTTGTACTAAATTGTTATCTATTTTACAATAATTTTTGTACCACTCAATATATCATTGCTTAGTTAATCTTGAGTTAATTTTAAGCCTGCCTATAAATAAATAAATAAATACCGATTGTATAGCAATGCAAGTATCCATACGACCTGTTTTTGTAATACTCATTTGCGCTTAATTGTTATCTGTTTACAATAATGTTTTACCACTGAATACTTCATTGCTTAGTTAATCTTAAGTTAATTTTAAGCCTGCCTGTAATGCTATGCATTCAAGTGGCTTTGGCATGCTGCATTTAACTGTATTCTTTTGTACTTCTCTGTATCATGTTCAAATTAATAAATAAATAAATAAATACGGCCATGTTGTACACTAGGGAACAATGCCACTGAACTGGAATGTTTCGAGTTATTCTTTGACGAACCCCTGATGGAAATTATTGTTAGGGAAAGCAACAGATAATACGAGTACACCATGACAAACACAATACTTTCGCCAAGCTCACGGCTACACAGGTGGAAGGAGACAACTGTGGCTGAGATGTATCTTTTCTTTGCTACAATAATGCTTATGCCACATGTGTATAAGCACAGTGTGAAATCATACTGGTCAACAGACTGCCTGGTTGCAACCCCAGGTTTCAGTGATATAATGGGAGTGAATCGATTTGTGCTACTATTACGTATGCTTCACTTCTCAGACAAAACCAGGCCTGACAGAAACGACAGGTTATATAAGATTAGTTATGTGTTTGTGTATCTGGAAGGGAAAGTCTTTGATTCTGTTCAAAGGAAGACACTCTCTCAAGCAGTACATACCAAGCAAGAGGAAACGCTTTGGTATAAAGTTGTTTGTGCTTTGTGATTGTTACAGTGGTCTGGTATTGGATATTATTGTGTACACTGGAAGTTATACATTGCAGAATACCAGGAAGTTATTGGGCATCTCTGATGATGTGGTTAGAACAATGATAGAACCATACCTTGGTAAGGGGCATATATTATATACTGATAACTGGTACACAAGCCCCTCACTCAGTGATTTTTTGCGAGTGAACATGACAGATGTGTGTGGCACAGTGCGTGCAATTCATAAACATATGCCCAGGTTTGACGCTGGCACTCGTAGAGGTGAGTTGCAGGCGTTTGCTGCCAATGACATCATGGCATTTCAGTGGCATGACAAACGAGATGTCACACTGTTGTCATCAGTTCACCCTAACGAAATGACAAACACTGGCAGGCAGCATAGAGAGAGCAATGAACCCATTCTAAAACCTTCAGCTGTGATTGATTACACCCTCAATATGCGCTCAGTGGACAAAAATGACATGCAGATTGGGTTTGCTGATTGTGTTCGCAAGAGTTATAAGTGGCACATAAAACTCTTTTTCCATCTTCTGGACATTTCCATGCTCAGTGCTTATAATATGTATAAGATGAGGACCAGAAACAAACCATCATATGGCGAATTCTGTTTGTCTGCCATCAGACAAATAGTATTCAAGTACCAAGGAACAACACCTGCCATAGACCGCCCACTAAATTATCAACAACTACCTTCTCGTTTGAAGCATGGTGATCACTTCCTTTCAAGAAAAAGGCTCAGAAGAGGTGTTACGTTTGTGCACATACAAAAAAAAACAAACACCCACAACAATGCAGACACACTCGTTTTATGTGTGAGGAGTGTAAAACACCACTGGGCATGACACCATGTTTGAAAGACTTCCACAGGCTGCAGAACTTCTAGAAGCATTCCCTGTGACTGTATATGTGTATATAAAATATAGAAAAATAGTAATAAACAACATTTTATATCATTTGTGTGTGAAAACAACAATTATAAACAATATAATGACAATAGTGTTTGTGGAGTTATTGTGTAGTAAATAAAGAGAAAAAACTTATAAAATAGTGCTAATATTGGTCTCACAGGCCATAAAAGTTACTTGGTAAAAAAAAATTAAAAAATAATAGAAAATAGTACCTAAAAAAAAAAATACCGGGTGACGGCAGTCGGCGATGTTACCATATATGGGATATTTTATGTCAACTTCACGCCTCCATATCTCGGTAAGTATTGATGGTAAAAATTTTTTGTTTTGCCTGTAATGTTTAGAAAAAAAAAATTATCTTTTCATAAGAAAAAATATTTTTTTATTTTTTTTAAATTTGGGGGACCCTGAGAACAAGTCTCTGAGAGGGCCTGTGGACCCTGGAAGGGTTAAGGATGTTAAGGTTAGGTTAGGGTGGGGAGGTTAAGGCTCACTAATGTTTATAATCTGGAAGGACGGCTATAGAGTGATGAATGTTTTCATTTTTTAGGCTACCAAAGCTTTGGTAAGAAATGGCAAATATGTTAAAACATAGATACAATTTGGAGGGTTGCTTGAATTATGATTCTTTGCACTTTTGGCAAGACAGCTCTTGAATGAGTGATGGTGAATGTGCTTACTTTTTTGAGTTATCCTTTCTTTGTGGGAGATGGCTGGTGTGTTAATTTTTTTTTTTTTTAATATGTAACCCACAACAGAATTAATTATGAAACCTAACATAATAAGATAAGGCTAATTTTGGTTAGTATTTTTATAGTGTGAAGGAAATTTGTGATGTTCAGATTTATTTATTTATTTATTTATTTATTTATTTATTTATATGTATATGCCTCGGTGGGAGACGGCCGACTTGTTGAAAAAAAAAAAAATATTTAAAAAAGAATATAAGGTGTGTGTATTTTCCAAAAATTATTCCTGCCAGCTATGTCTGCACAAAAAAGTTATGTTTAAACAGGATGACATATAGTACTATTACTTTTATTCCTGCAGGAGAAGGAGCGTGATATAAGTCGGAGTAGTGGATCAAGTGTGTGGCAGGCACTGCTTACCTGTGTGGCTCAGCTGGCCACTACTGAAAAGTTATATATGAATCTATCTTTCCTGACTGCTAAAGGATTTTTGAGAAAAGAGGTAAGAAGCTTATGGATACTGGATGGTTCATACAGTTTAGTCTTTTTGTGAATATAGTATTAATATTGAAAGAAAGAAGTTTATCTATGGAGGCAAAAGACTGGGATATACCAGAGTATAGTGATGCCAACACTGTATGAGTGTGAGGCATGGGTTTTGAAGGTGCTCGGTAACATTAAACATTTGACTTCTTTATTTGTTGACCGATTGTGCTCATTTTTGGTGTACTGTTAGAAGCTTATATCGGCCATGCTTTTCTGAAGTTTCAAAAATATCGGCCAAGAAGCAAATGAAATATGCGGACCTGTGCTAAGTGGCACTTGGAAAAGTGGCTTTGACTCTTGCTGCTGATAGAACACTTCTAATTCCATCATTGTTCAGGTACCAATTCTATAATAAACCTTATCTTCATTCTGAAAAAAAATAAAGTTTATAATTTTATTGACATTTAGGAAGATTTCAGTCTTGTTGCCCACACAAATCTGAAAATATTTGGGATACTTCAGAAAGGTACATGCTATCTTGTAAAGCAATCATTTCGTTATGTTTGTTGTGAAAATCAGGTCAATTCATTCATAAATAAGGATGGATTGCCCCGAAATAGGTAAATAACTTACTTCCGAGATAATGGCCGATAAGCGCGGCTGCCCAGGTACGTGGGGAAATATATTTTTCCCCAAAAAATTGCTTTCTTTACACTTTGTCCGTAACCTATGAGTGTTTATTACAGTTAATCATTGTAAATCTTTGTTTTCTTTCATTATAGTGACTAGAGAATGGGTATAGGGGCTTGAGCTGGGAGAAGTCCATAGAGTTCTTTCCTCTCCAGCATCATATTATGCTATATATTATTTTTTCTGGTGTACATTTTGTTTCTATGCTATTATTATATCACCTTATTTCATATTAGATCCATTGTGATAAGTAAATAAGCCTTATAGTTGATATTAGCGTGAGTATAGAATATTTTGTTGGCTAGTCTGTCGGCCATCTCAGCACTTATTCCCAGGGGATGTTCCTGATTGGTTCCTAGACCATATTAGCTCCACCCACTCCACCATAATCTCAGATGGTGAATTTGTATTATATTAAACATAAAGATGTAAGAAAATTATAAAAAAACATGGGAAGAAAAAATGCCGCGTCAGCACGCATGCTATGCGAGGCGCTGTCACCATGCATGTTATAAATGACTATAATTCCTTTAAGAAACATCGTATAGTGATGATAATTATACCAGAGTGTTGCCAGAAAGTTCAGCTATTTTTTGGTAGAATAACTCAATTTTCATATTTATTCAATTTTTTTTTTTACTCCATGCGCTGAGACGTTGTTGGACCCCTGAATCCTGCAGTGAGGACAGGGAGGGGGGGGGGTTGAGGTTAATGCAGAGAATTTGGAGCATAGAAGGAGGGGTGAGAGGGATAGGCTGATGAAGAGAGGATATAAGTCTGGGGTGAAAGACAGGAGGGACATGGGTAGTCCCAGGAACGGTTGGAGGGAGGGGATAAAACAAGCTTTTGAGTTTTAGGGGCTTGAGCATCCAGCAGGCTTGTGTGATCATGTTAGATAGGAGTGAATGGAGACAAGTTTTTTTTTTTTTTTTTAAGGGTAAGATGTTGGAATTGTGAGCAACGCAACCTTTATGAAGGGATTCAGGGGAAACTGGTTAGCTGGACTTAAGTCATGGAGGTTGGACGGGCATTGCCTGCCCTCTGAGGGAGAGGTGGGGATATTGCAATCAGAGGGTAATTTGATTGTGCTTTCAGCACACTTCTAGAAAGACAGAGATGGAATGAATGATGGTGAATGTGTTTTCTTCTTTGGGTCCCCCTTCCTTTGTGGGAGACAATCATTAAGTTAAAAACAAATAGAAGAAGCAACACCTCGTGAACTGTTATTGTCATAAAAGCTTCCACTCGCCAGAAGAGATCATACATTATTTCTGAAAACTTTATGTTCTGATTTTTCATTACTATGGTGTGTTAATATTTTCCTAAAATAGGAGTAAAGGAAGGATCACAATTTGAATAGCACTTGTCTTTTCTTTCAAAGTCATAAATTAAATTAATCTAAAAAATTTTTGTTCCCACTCATGTTTATAATTATAAGTACAGTGGACTCCCGCATAGCGACTTTAATCCGTACAAGAGGGCTCATTGTTATGCGAAATGATCGGTATGCGAATGAATTTTCCCCATAAGAAATAATGGAAATCAAATTAATCCGTGCAAGACACCCAAAAGTATGAAAAAAAAAATTTTACCACATGAAATATACATTTTCCTACACACAAAGAGAAGGATACATGCACAATAGTAGAGTAGTACATGCACAATATATATTGTGCATGTACTACTCTACTAAATGAAGAATAAATGACACTTACCTTTATTGAAGATGCAGCAATGACTGATGAGACACTGTGTCCTGGGAGTGCCTTTTCCTCCTGAGTACTGTAGGTCCTGTTTGGCATTTTCTTCCAGAACAGCCTTATCACACTGTGTATGCCACTACGATTCTTAAATCTCTCAAACCAACCTTTGCTGGCTTTAAATTCACCAATATGAGCAGGCTCTGGTCCACCAGGAGGCCTGGTCACAGACCGGGCCGCGGGGGCGTTGACCCCCGGAACTCTCTCCAGGTAAACTCCAGGTAAACTAGTTCCAGGCATTTTTCCCTGTTCACCTGGGTGTTAGTCGACTGGTGTGGGTTGCATCCTGGGAGACAAGATTAAGGACCCCAATGGAAATAAGTTAGACAGTCTTCGATGATACTGACTTTTTTGGGTTATCCTGGGTGGCAAATCCTCTGGGGTTAATTGTTTCTTGGTATTCTCAATGAGCCACACCAACAACGGTGCTACAGCAGCAGCAGCAGCAGCTGTACCACCAATAGTAGCGATGGTTGATTGGGGTTTATTATACAACCTGGCCAGCTCGGAGACACGCACTCCACTTTCATACTTATCAATGATCTTTTTCTTCATCTCTATAGTAATTCTCACCCTAATTGCTGTAGGGTTGGCACTAGAAGCTTTCTTGGGGGCCATGGTCACTTATTTTGCAGATAAAATCACCAAAAACACTGTAATAATACGAAATGTTCCGATTGTATGCTTGGATGTTACCGCGGAGGCTGGCTGGTAAACAATGCCACCGGCGGCACATGTGAGGCTGGCTAAGGGCGCACATTGGACGCGTCTCGGACGAAGAGCAGTGAGCGGGTTTTTGAGCGGTATGCGAGGCAAAATTTTTGTGATAAAAGCGAGCGGTGTGCGGATTGAACGTTATGTGATGCGTACGGTATGCGGGGGTCCACTGTACTTCATGGTAATACCTAATCTCTTGGTTATTAGAATTTAGTTAAACTATTAGCGTTGTTAATGTTGTATGTACAATATGTTTTTTTCAACATGTCAGCCATTTCCCACTGAGGCAGGGTGACCCAAAAAAGAAAGAAACACTTTCACCATCATTCACACACAATCACTACCTTTGCAGAGGTGCTCAGATATGACAGCTTAGATGTCACTTCAAACAGTCAATATCCCAAACCCCTTCTTTAAAGTTCAGGCATTGTACTTCCCACCTGTCTCGTAGCTCGATCACTAGCATACTCAGCTCACACACTGAGGTCTGGGGTTCGCATCTCTGGTATGGCTGGATAACATTAGGACGTGTTTCCATAAGACACCTGCTGTCCATGTTCACCCATCAGTATAAAATGGGTACCTGGGTGTTAGTCAACTGGTGTATGTCTCATCATGGGACAAAACTGACCTAATTTGCCTGAAATGCTCTGCATAACAAATGGCTATCTATATAGTAGTATGTCATTGATGTCAGCTAGGCATGTATACCTTGTACATGTACTTATAGAAATAAAGATATTATTATTACGTATTATTAAGTCTGGCTAACAGGTTTCCCTGAATCCCTTCACAAAATATTATCCTGCTCACACTCCAACAGCTCATCAGGACCCAAAAACCATTTGTCTCCATTCACTCATATCTAACATGTTCACAAATGCCTGCTGCATGTCCAAGCCCCTTACACACAAAACCTCTTTTACCCCTTCCTGCCATCTGTTCCTAGGACGACCCCAACCCCTCCTCCCCTCCACTACAGATTTATAGACCCTCCAAGTCATCCTATTTTGCTCCATCCTCTCTAAATGACCAAACCACCTCAACAACCCCTCTTCAGCCCTCTGAATTTTACTTTTAATAACTCCACACCTCCTAATTTTCAGTATATACTTGTATTAAATAATTATTGTGCTTTGTCTTTTCAGAGTTCTGTCCGTGCAAGTTATGAATCACTCAACACTGAGCTGACTGAACTAAGTCTAGAAAGGAGAAAAGTTATGAACAACAATGGTAATGCTTCCACAGGTGGATTAACATCCCCAGGAAGTCCAGGCTGTGATGGCATACTGCGACACCTGTGTTTGCACCTTGTCCTTTTTATTAAAGCCCGGCTACAAATGATAGCTTTGTATCCTTATTGTCTAGTACATCTCTCTTTTGGGTTATGTGACAGTCTCGCAGTGTAATGGGAATAGGGCAGAGAAAGCGTGTTTCTATAGACCTATGGACATTGTCAAAGCTTTCTAAGAAGTTTTACCTTTCACCTGTTCCTTTTCAGATCATCCCTATGTGTGCCAGGACCCCAGGACTCAGGTTTTGGGATGCAACACTGCCATGTGTCAGGACCCAGTGGCTGGCAGTGATGATGCTGAACAGCCTAACATTTGTGTTGGCCTCCTTTCCATGAGTTGGGCTATGATTGCTGGAGATTCCTGTTGTCAATGGGGCACAACTGCATTTGTGCCCCATTGACTCTAAGGAACCCCAGGCATTCATACCTTTGCTTTAAAGACATATTGCCTTGTTCCCTGGAGTAAAAACACTCTGTACCATCTTCATGCTGAGTTTCACCAGCCCCATTCCCTGGGACATCAAAGATCTATGGTGTGTGCCACACCAGATGACATTTCCATCTGCTTCTCTCCATGCTATCAAATGTGTGCTGGATGATCCTACAATGCAGTTCTTGATATATCTGTCCAGCTCCCAGACCCAGGTATGAGTTTCCAACTTGGGCCTCTGCTAGCACTCTATCTTTGAGGTAGGGTTGCTCTCTATTAGCAGATTCCAAGAACATGTTAATCTGAAATTATGTACATGGCTTGAAAAGGCATATTGCAGATGGACTATACCCATTCTTTCATTTCATCAGTTTCATCCTGGCTTTACTTCATGACATTCTGCTGTGCCCGGCTGACAGCATGGTCAAGGCTCACCAGGATCTTCTACAGTTCTTGGTTTTCATGAATCAGGGCTATTCCCATGTGAATTATATCTCAACTCGACAGCTACATCTTCTGTTTAAAGTACTGATGGTACAGTTTCAATATGGGCTACTCCTTGGGTCCCACAGAAGAAAACTTTTTAAAGCTGATAGGTGTGTTTCTGTCCAGGGGCCCTGGATTTGCATTTTCTCCTTCACCAGTGATTGTCTGGATGCTAGCTGCAGCTGGTCAGGTGCATATGCTTATGCACAGCAACAGTCACTTAACCAATAAAAGAAAATGAAGCTTTTTTAATCACAAATGAGCAGTAAAGCTACACTGGGACAAAAATAGTTGCATATTAACCCGTAAACGGTCCAAAAGTATATATATGTTCACTACCGTACTGTCCTAACTTTTTTGAGAAAAAAAACATTGTTATTTTTTAATAGGAAGAAAGAGCATATGGTACCCAGGCATCCCCAATTATTTTAACCCTTCGACTGTCGAAGGGCCCAATCCTGAAGTTGCTCCTGGTGTCGCAAAATATTCGAAAAAAAAAAAAATTATTTTTTCTTATGAAATGATAGAGAATCTTTTCCCGATTGTAAAGACACCAAAAAAACGAAATTTGATGGAAAACTGACGGAATTATGCTCTCGCGAAGTTAGCGACTTCGGCGATATTTAAAAATCGGCAATTTCGCCCACTTTGAGCCCTATTTTCGGCTAATTCCGTTATTCCAGTCAACCAAACTCATAACTATTTCTTCAGAACTCTATTTTTTCTATCGATTGAGCACAAGAAACTGCCCATTTACCGATTTCAACTACCCAATAACATGGTCAGAAATTTGCAATTTGGCCAATTTCACGAAAATTAAAAAATACGACAATTTCAAAATAAGGTCCAGAATGAACAATGCAGACATTCCTGGCTCTAAAATAAGATTTTCTTTGTTCATCAGTCATGTCTCCAGGTCCCTGTGATATTACTCTTGCTTTTTATTTTGAAATTTTTATTCAAACAAAAAATAGAAGATTTACTGTTTATGCAGACTACTGCAATACTGTATATAATTGTAAAAATTACATCAACCCTTTCCATGACTGCATATTAGAATGGCTATTTGGACATTATTGGACGATGACATCATTTGTTTATTTTTGAACATCGGCAAAAATCAAACATTTCCTGTACTTTGTGCTCCATTTCCGGGTTTCTTTTTATAGTAAAATTAATCAAAATCACCTCCATTTCTATAATATAGTTTCCATTCTATCAAATGAGACCATGAAAACGAGAATACAACCACAAATACTATACGAAAATAGACCACAAAGTCGGCATTTTAATTAAAAAAAACGGTCGGAGTATTTTTTTTCTCATTATGCACTGCGTGCTCCAGGATTTTTTTTATGTGGTGCACACTGACCACACAGACCCATTCTCTCACATGTGGGCCTACTAGCTTTCTCCTGCCTGATTTGAAGCCGCTAGAATTTATGAGTATATATACGTCAAACACGGTACCTCACAAACGTATATATACGGCCGCGACAGTCAAAGGGTTAATATGGTGCACAGTGAGTGCCCACACCCATTCTCACATGTCTAGGCGACTCAGGCTTATCGTGGCAATGTTAAATGTAGGACACACAAAACGTATATATACGTTTGGGGCACTAGCGGTAAAAACGTATATATACGTTTGGACCGTTTACGGGTTAAGTAGGAATGGTTTTATACAGGAGGGCCCCATTTGTACGGCTCTTAGGTTCCCGACCCCTTGTGATAAGTGAAAATCACTGGTGGGTGGAAAAGAGCATTTTTTCATTATAAAATGCATCTGAGAGGCCTAATAATGTATGTACACTGCCATATTAAGTATTTATTACAGCTAAGCATAAAAAACAGATAAAGTAAAATAAATACACAGTACAATCATGTGCCACATAACCTCATTTTGGTCATTGATGGACCACATATATGACACTGGTATGAACAAACCTACTGCACTGCCAGTTGTATAAAAGTATAGCACAGACAATTATGTACAGTACATAATACTTGATAATAATAATAAACATTTATGTTATTGGTTTATGTATTTACTATACGTACTGTATTTTTTATTGTTATTCTAGAGTGTGCTCTTTCTACTTATAAAAGAAAAGTAAGTTTACTATAAAACACCCCTCAAGGGAAGTTCCTTGATGCTGGTGAGGGGCTCTTGATCTAGGGAATTCGATCTGTGCTCCAGGTCCCTGAATTGAGCCTGAATACCTTCCATCCCCACCCCTACAGGTACTGTATAATCCCTATGGGCTTAGTGCTCCCCCATGATTATAATAATACAGTGGAACCCGAGTTTTCATCTGGTCCGGTTATCATACACTTCAGTTTTCGACTACTTTTTTCAGCAAAATTTTCCCCGTTTTCATACATCTGCTCAGAAATCATCCATACCAGATGCGTCCGCCTACCCGCGGGAGACAGCCGCTCATACGTTCGTGACAGTCTGCCTTTGTTACTCGTTCAGTGAGCATTACTCCATGCATTCATCTGAAACATTTCTTAATAATCCATTGTTTTTTGTGCTTGCAACTGCTAAATAAGCCACCATGGGGCCAAAGAGTCCATGGTGTTGAAGGTGAGTGGCCAGGATGTGGAAGAGTTGGTGGACGACCACAGGGAAGAGCTAACCACTGAAGAGCTGCAAGACTCCTTCATCTGGAACAGCAACAGACCTTAGCTGAGGAAATTGCTTCAGAGGAGGAGGAAGAGAGAGGAGAGAAGGTGCCTTCTTCAACGATTAAGGATATTTCTGCAAAGTGGAGTGTGGTGCAAAGTTTTGTGGAGAAATATCACCCTAACAAAACTGTTGCAAGCCTGTGTCAGCAACATGTTCAATGACAATGCTGTGTCTTATTTTAGGCAATTCTTAGAGATACCAGAAACAGGCCTCTCTGGACAGATTTTTTGTGCGACGGGTTCAGTGACTCTGAAGCTGGTCCTAGTGCCAGTAAAAGACAAAGAAAGGAAGTAACCCCAGATAGGGCTTTGATACCTGAAGTCCTTATGGAGGGGGATTCCCCTTCCAAACAATAACCTTTCCTCCCTCTTCCCTCCCCGCCGTCTTCCATATGCCAACAAGAATCTTCAGTAAAGGTAAAAGTGATGTTAAATGTTCATTTATCCATTTCATTAGTGCTTTATATTTTTTCTCATTGTTTTCTGTATGTAAAACTATAGTTATTCTCTATAATTTTTTTTTTTTTTTTTTAATATTTTTGGGTGTCTAGAACAGATTAATTGGATTTACAATTTTTCTTGTGGGAAATATTGCTTCAGTTTTCGTACAAATCGGTTTTCGGCTGCCCTCCAGGAACAGATTAAGGATGAAAACCTGGGTTCCACTGTAATAATGATACTATAAAACACTATGCTGTGTTACGCATAGTATTGGTATCAGGAAGAATTTCTCAAGCTTTTCTTATAAGTGTAGTACAGTAATGTTTTCAGATACTAAACACATCACTGTACTGTGAAACCATATACAGTGGTCCCTCAATAATCGTCCGGCCTGAAAGTCGTCCATTTCGGAAATAGTCCCGTTATTTCGTCTAAACATTGGCTCACAAATGGTCCGTTAACTCACTAATCGTCTTTCGTCCTGGACGCGTACTCACGGCTCTGAGCCGTTCCCAGCCAGTGTGCCATTGTTTACCAGTGAGCAACTGTCCCCTCACATGTTCATACAAAATATTTCATCATAATCCATTCATTTTAGTGCTTGCAAGTGCTAAATAAGCTACCTTGGCTCCTAAGAAAGCTCCTAGTGCCAAACCTTTGGTAAAGAAGGTGAGAAATACGATTGAATTTAAGAAAAACATCATTGAACAATATGAAAGTAGCAAGAGTTTCAGCAGGAAGAGCAACAGATCGCAGCTCAGAATCATGCTGCAGAGGAGGCGGAAGAGAGATGGAAATTCAGAAATTAAGGAGATTTTTGAAATGTGGGGTAGGATGGAAAGATTTATGGAGAAACATCACCCTGAGAAGGATGTTGCAAGCCATATTGGCAACTTGTACAGTGACAGAGTCTTGGCCCATTTTAGGGAAGTTTTAAAGAGATGCCAGAAACAGAGCTCTCTGGACAGTTTTTTTTTTGAGACAGGACTCCAGTGACTCTAAAGCTGGTCCTAGTGGCATTAAGAAACAGAGAAGAGAAGCAACCCCAGAAAAGCACTTGGTACCTGAGGTGTTGATGGAAGGGGATTTCCCTTCCAAACAGTAACTAATCCAATCTCTCCTCCTCCTCCAGCCTTCTATACACTAAGAAGAATTGCCAATAAAGGTAAGTGTTATGCTGTTAATGTTTCATTCATCATGTGCCATTGTATTGTTTATGTACTACATCTGTATTTCATGTAAAAAAATTTTTTGTTTTAATACTACTGGTTGTCAGGAACTGATTAATTGTATTTACATTGTTTCTTACGGGGAAAATTGATTCGAAAATCGTCTATTTCGATAACAGTCTCACTTCCAGGAACGGATTATGGACGATAATTGAGGGACCACTGTAAAGCTTTTTACTTCAGTTGTTTCATTTGTCCATCCATATACATACAGTATTTTTGTTTAATTATCTCTTACAATGTATGGCAGCCTCATACATTGTGTTTACCACATCTTTTGAAAGCATCATTTTCCCTTGTGCTTGATTTAATCTCATGTTCTTTTGTTCTTCATGGCTCCTGCAAGAAAAGAAAAAGAAGAGAAACCTTAAAGAAAATTAATAACAAAAAAGGCACAATACCGTGACTGGAACGATACACAAATAACCCGCACATAGAAGAGAGGAGCTTACGACGACGTTTTGGTCCGACTTGGACCATTTACAAAGTCACAGTGTGACTTTGTAAATGGTCCAAGTCGGACCGAAAACGTCGTCGTAAGCTCCTCTCTTAAAGAAAATTCATAGTGAGGGGTTGAATAGAAGCTTTTGCAGACCTCATCAAGCTCCTTTAAAAGTTTGAAAACATGAATCCCAACACCGAAAGTTTTCTTTAACCCTTTGACTGTTTCAGGCCCTCTCTGAAACTGTCATTCTATGTCGCCAAATATTCGAAAAAAAAAAAATTATTTTTTCTTATGAAAATGTTAGGAATATTTTTCTTAGTGTTTTAAGCCTAAAAAATTTTTTTTGCCATCAGTACTTACCGAGATATAGAGCCGCAAAGTTTGCAGAAAGTGACGTGCATACGGCAACAGCGGCGACTGCCGCCCACCCGGTATTCTTTGTTTACTCTAATTCAAAGCTTTCTTGCATTTTTCAATATTTTTCTGTTCCAGGTAACTTATGTGGCCTGTGAGACCAATGTACGGTGCATTCTTCAAATATACACTCACTGTTTACAACGCAATAACAGAACAAACTTTATCACTATTAGTTTGTGTATACACTTTGTTTACACAAACAAACAATACAAAATAATGTTTATTACTATTGTTCCATAATATATTATACATATGTACAGTCACTAAACACGTTCCTAGAACTGCTGCAGCTTGTGGAACTCTTTGAAACATGGGTATATGCAGAGGGGCACTTCACACTCCTCACACATAAAACGAGTGTCTCTGGTGTTTGTGGGCGTTTGTGGTTATGTGTACATACATAACACCTCTTCTGAGCATTTTTCTTGGCAGTAGTGGGAGGCAGTTGCATGGGGTAGTGATCACCAGGCCTAAAACGGATGACGTGTGTTGGTAATTTCGTGGGCGTGGTTATTGCAGGTGTTGCTCCTTGGTACTTTGCAATTATTTGTTGATTACTGACAAGCAAAATTCACCATATTTTGGTGTTTTGTTGGTCTTCAACTTGTATTGTTATAAGCTTTTAGCATAGAATATCAAAAAGATGAAAAAAAGTTTTATATACCACTTATAACTCTTGCGTACACAGTCTGCAAACCCAATCTGCATGTCACAT